ATTGCTTGTTGGTTTGAAGAAATGATAAGTAGAGTCATTATCCAATGTTGCTGTTTCAGAAAAAAAGGCAACGGTAGGCTACCCATCAAATGGATGGCTTTGGAAGCGTTGGACTCACACATGTATACAGTGGAAAGTGATGTGTAGGAGTACTTTTACGCTTTTCTTACATCTCCTGTTGCGAGATTACGTTTTACTGACGTAATTTCTTTATGACCTAAACAATAGGAGTTCAGGTGGTCCTATGGCATTCTTTTGTGGGAGATAATGACCATGGGTGGAACACCATATCCTACAATAGCTATGCCTCAGCTATATTCGGTACTCAAGGGCGGTTACAGGTATGGAATAGCAAACTCCGACGGAAGTGAGTTAATGAGGCAGTTATTTTTAGAATGGAGCCCCCGCAAAAATGTCCGGGTGAGATTTACGATCTCATGGTGTCATGTTGGCAGGTCAGTTTCGAATATGCGTTACCACAAAAATCACTTCCAAATGGAGTTTAACATAGGCTAAATGAAGCAAGAACTTAGTATTTTGTTTCTTCATTAATGAATTATTCTATGTTGGATACAGCTCAAATGAAATAAGAGCTCGCTGACATAAACTTTTTTGTTCTACCCTTTTTGAGATAACATTTTCATGACCTTTGACTTTATAAGTTGAAAGAAAATATGAGAATTGTCCTGTTATTGTTAAGGAAAAACGAGAAAAGCGTCCGACATTCAAAATGATCGTGGATTATTTAGACTGGATGCTACAAGATGCTGATGTGAGAAGTTAAACATTTTGTTTGCATGACCTTCTAACCAAAATTTGAAAATCCTTTGATGTGGTCTTAGTTTTTACAGAGCGACACCATTTTTGACGACGTAGAGGGTGCTCCACCTCCTCCGTCTAGCGATAGTAGTTTAGGTAGGAAACTTCGTACAAGACCTTTGTCGGCACCTGTTTTCTTACCATCAGATGTAAGTCTTTAGATTTTCTTGTTGTTTTTGGGTTTGAACTAAAAAAGGTGTTTCCAGCCTCAACACGCTATCTGCGACGATAATATCGAAGGCGCTGGATCAGCTTTTGTTATGGGAGACGCGGCAGAGGAATCTGAGATTCTGCAAGCATCGGATCAGGAACATCAATATTGCAATCAGCCAAATGAGCACCCTGCCTCAGCGGCTGCTCGGCTGGTAAGACAACAAACAGGTATTGATTGCTAAGACTGACTTCTGTGTTCCAGCTAGCCCGGTTTTGATGTTCAGATCCAGGTTCGGAGAGATTTCACGTAGAAGAGGAATCGGATTACTCCGTGCCTCGGGCTGTTGCTGAAGTTGCTGCACCCTCTGTGGATTCAGCGATCGGATCTCCTGCTTGGATTGCTCCAGAACTCTCCACACATAGTCATTACTCGGTCCCTTTTTTAGGTAATCGTAGCTTCATTGTTGTCTGTAGTACCGTTATTACTGGTTATAGATGTCTACAAAGATCTTTAAACATTAAATTAATGAGAGTTAAATCATGACTTGGAAGGTAATTTAAATAATTTAATAATAATACTACGTTGGGATAATCAAGTTCACAAAACACCTATCATTTCCAGGCGAGCCGGGAGCGGCGCGAGTTGAATCGGCGTACATAAATGTGGCTGGCCATCGCACCACTCCCACCCGCTTTCCATTTCCTCCTTCTACATCACTTGCCGAAAGCACATTAACGTGAGTTGCATTTGTATATTGTTTTGTTGCTTTTCAAGACCTCCCTCTCTCAGGTACTCTGACTCGGGCACCTTTGAGCCAAGGACACACTGTTCGCCATACAATGGCGCAACTAATCAAGCTTTTATGCCATCTCCAAACGCTTTTACGACCGAGGCAGTCGCTAGGAGGTTAGTTCGTTTGAGGTTATGCCCATGTCACAATGTTCTTGCTAGTTAGGCCCATGTCACAATGTTCTTGCTAAGTTCCCATGGTTCGCTTTACATTCATGCAAGCATTGGTTATGAAGGTGTTTCAGCGCAGTTTTTCTCATCGACTTCAATGTTTCGCGTCGGTCTACTGGTCTCTCTCTGTCCACAAAAATGGTTCATTTTCGGAGACTTTTTGAGCGTTCTAAGTCTGGCCTGCATTTTCTATGCTAGGTTTCCAATGCTGCGTTTCCTGGAGTTGGACAAACTACGACATAAATTGCTACAAGACATGGATTAGCTGGAATGGCTGTAGCCTTAGAGTTTTTCCCACTAATCGTTAGTCACGCTCATGAAATGTTCAGCAGGTCTAGTATGATAATGCGTGCTCACTAAACCTTCTTGCGACTTCTAATGTTGGTAAATACAGTATTGTCATCAAAATATGCAAATATTTGGAGAAGAATTGCTTATCGATAGCACCTTTTCCCGTTCCATTTAGTGCCTACATACACCACTGCAGTGAAAGTAAGAACTTAAATTATAAGTAAAGAATTAAGGACGGAATTACGTTCCCACTTAGGGTACAATTACTATGGTTGAGTGACTACTCAAAAAATTGCATATTAGTCCTAATAGGCTCAGCGCCAACAGTATGACACATAAGTGAGTTTACATGTACAATTCCGCCCTGCAGTCCTAAAAGTTCCGAAGCTGATCATCTTTAAGTCTAGCATCAGGGAGGTATGTATAGCTCCGTGGCATGGATAGGGTCAGCTTCTACTATATCAGATCCCAATCAAAAAATTCTCCTTTCTACGCAGATTGAATCGAGGCTATGTTTTACCTCCCGGTTTTAGGCAATTTCCACCTAAATTTCTTCTAAGTAACGTCCTTTCAAATTACATGTTTCATTTAAGTGTAGATTGGAATACCGAGAAAACGGGAGGCGGTCGAGTGGCGCGATTTTTCCCGGCTGTCACTATATATACATGCTAATAGCG